CGCGGTTCAATCCCCCAGCACCACATGCCAGCCAGCCCCGCCCCCTGGTGGGCTGAGCTGGCCACACACACACACAAATAAATAAATAAATAAATTAAAAAAAAATGTGTTAGGGAGAATTGCTTCCCTTGCAATTTCACCAAAAAGTTTGAGAAGTATTGATATTAAATACTCTCTAAATTTCTTGTATTAAATACTTCTCTAAATACTCTCTAAATTTCTAAATTTCACAATTCAACTGTGAATTCATCAGGGTTTGGGCTTTTCTTTGTTGGTGAGTTTTTAATTACATTTTCAATTTCATTAACTGATACTGGATTATTCAGAATTTTTATAACTTGATTCAGTTTTGGTAATTTGAATATATCTAGGGATCTATCCATTTCTTCCGAGTTTTCCATTCTATGAGAGTAATGATTTTCAAAGAGAATTTCAGAAAATGGAAAGATATTCCTTGCTCAGAAATAGGAAGACCCAACAATGTGAAAATGGCCATATTCCCCAAACTGTTATATAGATTTAATGCAATCTCAAGGAAAATACCATTAATATAATTCACAGATCTAGAGAAAACATTCCAAAAATTCATTTGGAACCAGAAAAGACCTACAATAGAAAAGCCACTTCTGGTTAACAAAGGCAAGGCAAGAGGCATTGAAATCCCTGATTTGAAATTATATGACAAAGCTACTGAGATAAAATTAACATAGTAATGGCAAAAAACCAAACTTGAAGCCCAGTAGAACAGATTAGAAGATGCAGACACAACTACAAACACACACAGCCACCTTAACTTTGAGAAAGGAGCTGAACATGTTCACTGGAACAATGAAGAATAGACAGCCTCTTTAACAAATGATGCTGGAAAAACTGCTTTTCTACATGCTGAAAACAGAACCTAGACCATGTATATCACCATTCACTAAACTAACATCAAAATGGATTAAAGATCCAAATATTAAGACATAAACACTAAATCTACTGGATGAGAAAGTAGGTAGAAATCTTGAAGATATAGCAGTAGGGAGAGAGTTCATACACAGAAATCAAACTGCATCCTATCAAAAAGTTTTTGCACTCAAAAGAAATTTCCAACAGAGTGAAAAGAGAACCAACAAATTGGGGAAAAAAATCTTAGCCCATTGTCCTTCAGATAAAGGACATCCATCTAGAAAACATAAAGAATTGAAAACAATCAGGATCCCAAAATTCAAAGACCCAATTCAAAAATGGGCATCTAAGATGAATATATACTTCTCATTTGAAAAAATGCAAATGACAAAGAAATACATGAGAAAATGTTCAACAATATTGGTCATTTGAGAAATGCAACTTAAAACAACACTGAGATCCCATCTCACTCCAGAAATAAAGGATATCATAAAGAAATCAACTAACAAATGCTGGAGGGCCTGTGGGTAAGAGGAACTCTTCTTCACCATTGGTGGGAGTGTAGACTTGTACAACCACGCGGAAATCAGTGTGGAAGTTCCTCAAAAAACTAGAATTAGAGGTCCTATTTAACTCAGCTATTCCCCTTCTAGGTAGGTTTCCAGAAGAATTGAGAACATTGAACCATAGTGATATATGTGTGCCCATGTTATTAGTAACACAAGTTGTCATAGCCAAAAGTTGGAAACAGCCCAAATGCTCATCAACTGAGGAATGGATAAAAAAGATGTGATATTTGCATACAATGGAGTATTACTCAGCTATAAAGAAGGATAAACTCAAGGCTCTTATAAATAAATGAATGCAACCAGAAACTATACTCAAAAGTGAAATAATCAGACCAGCAATGTGTGAACATGATAGTCTTCCCAGTACAAGGGCCTGAAAGAGTAAATAAAATTCAAAAGGCTTAATAGATATTGTGAAAGGGAAAGAAACTGCTCAAAAACAAAGAACAACTGGGATGAGGGAAAGGAGAAAAGAAAGGAAGGGGAATAAAACCATGTATGTATGTACATAGGATAGGTAGGATGATTGTACTACTAATTTCTATTAGTTTGCTAAAGGGAACAGTTAATGCTTAAAATTTTTATTTTGACCAATTTTACGTGAATATGTCCAGTAATCTGAGAACTACTCTGAAGACAACAACGTGTAATATAACAACCATTGTTGAATTCCTATCATCTTGTTTTATGAAAGCCTGTATCACTTGTAATGTTTTTATTTTCTTTAAAATAAAAAAAGAAAATAGGTTTATGTAGATTGCAGTTCTGGAGGTTCAAGACTATGAGGCCAATGTTAGGTTGGCTGTGTTAAAGGCTCATAGTGGTTACGCTCACAACAGCAGTTATATATGTGCGTGGCAAAAAGAATACAGCCAGATGAAAAGCCAATTCAAGTTCCTTCTTTTATAACTACTTGCCCTTGTAAAAACTCACTCCAAGAGACTAGCATTCCCTTAAGTATAGGATCCAAAGTGACTTAATGACTTCCTAGTAGGTTCCACTTCCCACACTGCCATACTGCTGTCCAGGTTTCAACACATCAACTCTTTAGGAGACAAACCACAGCATACAATTATTAACTTGATTGGATATAAGTAATCATTTCAATATTTTTCCTATTTATTTTTCTTTTCCTGCCTCATGAGTTATTCAAAATCTTAAAAATTATTCTATTCTATCTAATCCATGGTCCTGAGGGCTACAATATACATTAACCATATGGGAATATTATGCCATTACACAATGTAAGAATAATAATGTATAACAGTCATGCAGTAGTATACTTCCACTGACCCTTTTCTGTCCTTTATATTATCAAACATTTTAATAAATTCAATAATGCATTATTTTTGCTTTAACACTCGAATGCCTTATATATTTAAAATAAAATTATATACAGTATTTATTAAAAGTTTGCCATTTATGTTGAACTTTATTATTTTGTACAAATCAAAGTTTCTAGATGGTCTCATTTGTCTGAAGAACTTCTCCAACTTTCCTTATGTGCTGGTTGCATTCTCTCTGACAATGTTTGTTTGAAGGTGTATTTATTACAAAAGGCTGTTTTGTTGGACACAGTATTCCAGGTTGGCACCCCTTTCCATGCCTTACAGATACTATACGATCTTTATGCTTCAGCTAGTATAGGTTGTGCTTCCTTGCTTTCAAGTTTACTGATCCTTTCTTCTCCCACCTCTGATCTTTTAATAAGTTCTTACAATGAATATTTATTTCAAAATTGTAATCTTTCATTCCTATACTTAGCATTAAATTTTTACAGCTTTAATTTTTCTGCTTATAATGACTATTTCTTTTATAACATACTTATTACAGCTCTGAGTTTTTATCTGCAAATGTAATTATCTGGGTCACTTCTTGACCTACTTCTTGGGAGTGATTTTTTCCTTTGGTTACTGATCAAATTTCCCTGCTTTGTAGGAAGTATAATTTTTGTTTCTTTACAGTAGATGTTGTGAATACTGCAATGCTGAAAATAGGGATTTTGTTGTCTTCCACTGTGTTCTTATGACAGTCACTGTGCTGGTGTATCAGCTTGATGTTTGAGGACTAATTCTTGAGGATGGGTCTAGAGTCAGTCTTAGTGCTAGAATACTCCTAAGCACTTTTTTTTTTTTTTTTTTTTTTTTTGGTTCTGGGGACTGAACTCAGGACCTTGTGCTTGCCAGGCAAGCACTTATTCTACTGAGCTATCTCCCCAGCCCTCTCCTAAGTACTCTCAATCCTAATGTGTAACTTTTAAAACTTGGGTTGTTTAGTAGAGACCTTTACATTCTGGCTGTTTTGAAGACTTTCAGTAGCTGTTTTCTACCATCTCTCATGGAGTCTCACCCTGATTAAGTGCTTGGTATTAAAAGACTTATGAGTACATAATTACAATTCTCCTAAATTTTTGGTGTTTCTTCTCTCAACAGCTACCCTTCTTTGATACTCTCTCTCATACATTTTAGCTACTTGAGTTATCCTTAACTCTGGTCTCATTTCTCCCTTCTCCCTTCCTTTCAAATCTGTTTTCCATTTGGGCTTCCATTTTTTGTGATACAATTCAGAATGTGCTTCAAGGTCGAAAGCCAGAATGAATGCAGTAGTTACCACATTTTTTTCTTTATCTCAAGCAAGAATCAAGGACCTTAATTATTTGTTGTACAGTGTAGTTCATGGTAGAAGGATAGGATAACACCAATTATAAGTAATGGTTAGAATCAAATTTACCTTGGAGATTTTTTTTTATTTTAGCCAATAGGCCATTTGTATAACTTCATACTTTATTTCATACATGTCTGTTTGTATTCATATTTAGTTCTAACATCTGAAGTCTTTTTTTTCTGGAAACCACCATATGTATTTCATAAGCATAATTAACATTCCTCTCCCAACAAAGTATAAAGAGCTATGAGTTGTTTTCATAAGGAATATTTTATACAGATTCTGTCCTATGTAAGAAATTCTGCAATCATATAGTCTAAAGAAACCAGTAACATTAAATATGAAAATCCATGTGCATTTATTTACAGGTCTTAATACAGCAAAATGTAAATGAAAATTGAGAGCACTGCTCATTAGGCAAGTAACTTTAAAATTTAGTTTCAAGTAAAAAATGGAGTTTCTCAAAACAACATATTCATATAAAATTTACTTTACCTTATGGTTATGCTCTAAGAGTACATGTTGCAGCAATCAGTAAGAGGGCTCCTTTTATATTTCAATTGAAATGAACATAAGTAGAAATGAATAATTTTCTTTTATTTTTTATTTTTTTTTCTTTTCAAGGTTTTATTGATAAACATATAGCAATGAGACAGTTTCAAATCAAATCGAAAGTACAGTTTCAACAAATAATACACTGCATAT